GAAAGACGATGGAAGGAATGTATCTTTGTTCTTTTGCTATGAACTGATGGACATGACAGGGTCCTTAAGAAAGTTAGCCCTTTCCCTGACTTCCACCCCACCCATTTCAGCAGATGCACACCTAGAAGCAAGAGGGAAAGCTGCATGATTAAAACAGGCAAATGGTCGTTCAGTTACTTAATCTAGCCTTAAAGTTGGAGGATTCCAAAATCAGAAATGTCTTCTCTTTTTAACATTTATTTGTCACACTGGATGAATGTGGCATATGGAATTCTGCAATGGAAGTCTGTCCATGCTGCTATAATTAGCTAGCAATGGTGACAGCAGGCAGCTTTGCCTCCTTATTATCTTAAGATTCTCAGTGCTGTATTATGCCATGAATTTCTACCACATCAGAATGCTAATGCATGAGAAAGCTTGTGAGTGCAGCATCCTGCAGCATCAACATAGCCTTCAATATCCCAAAGTGATCCCAAGTGTGACTGCAGTGAAGTCAGTGGGATTACATCAGCAATTAATCAAGATTTTGCCTTCTTTTCTCAGCCACAGAGTAGAGAAGGAAGCTAATCTTCCATTTTTCCTGCTTCTGCAATTACTTGAGCAACTTACTCGTGTACCTGTGATCAAGTTCTGCATGTCTGTAGATGAATATTTGGCACTGAATCTCCCTGCAAGGAGAACAAGGTTTTTATGCTTGTCTGGCTGTACTTAGTATGCTGTGCACACAGTCCTTGTATGAAATAGGCAGATTTGCAGCAGGAGAATTAAACCCTTTCGGAAAATTCTGTCACTTTTTAAAAGTAAACACGTGAAAAGCAAGCACACCCTTTCAATCCTTAACAAAAGCAGGCAGCCCATTGCAGGTCCAGGTTTAGAGATCACTGCAGACATTAGCTTTGCTCATCTGCAAACCAAGCCATGAAATCCTATTGCTGGTGCAGACACTGGGGAACTTGTCAGAAGGGACACTACATCTTTGCTACAGGAGCATCTGAGCAGGCAGATGAACAAGGAGCGAGGAAAGATGGGAGCAAACTGGAAGCTTTCAGAGGTAAAAAGCTTGAGTATCATCCTAACTGTCCAATGCTGTGTTCCTTGGGGCACTCAGCAGTGCTCTTTTGAACCCACCATTAACAGTCCTTCTTCATCTCAAGAAGAGGGCCTTGAACTTGTATGCACCAAAGGGGTTTTTCCCTTTTCTAAATCATACAAACAGAGCTTGGAGAGCTGCTTTCCATGAGGTTTGTTACTTGGTGTTACGTAAGAACGAGAGCTTATGTGATTATAATTGGTTCTTGAGGTTGGGCTTGCAGGCAGTGCTGGCTAGAACATGCATTTTCGTGCAAGAGCCGAGTGCCTGCATGCCAAATGGGCTGTTTGTGTGTACAGCCACAGGATCTATGAGACTAACAGGCACTCGTGCAGATTTTATCTCCAAATATGGCCTCTGTTATTAGTGCAGGGAAGAAACAGCCAATAGTACTTTGATTCCTTTATGCTGCTCAGACAAGTAGAGCTGGAAGTGCAGGCAGGTAGCAGTTCTGATATCTAGAGGTCTTTGTGTAACTGGTTTAATATCAGCTTGATTGTTGGCTGTGGAACTCTTCCATACACTAAACCAGAGTTGAGGTGTGAATGGCCATGGCCTCGAGGAGCTTATCCCCAAGCAGGCTTGGTAACCAAGATAGCTGGGCCAGCATGCCATACTGAGGCAAAAAGTGTGAAAAATACATTATGAGAAATGGCCCCATTGGTTCCCTATGGAACAATCTAATGGATCCGAATTAGAAGCTGTCACTTCTTGTTACAGGAAGGAAGGAATGGTTCAGCTTTCCCACCCTTGACTTGGAGAGGCTGAGATGAAGGCTGCTCCTGAGAGCAGTTTAATTTAAGGCTCTCATTTGCTAAATGTTTGTACCCCTCATTTCTTATACTGGACACCTGTTCATCCTATGCCCTCCAATATTTGAGCACTGATACGTTGAGTGTGTCTACCTGGATGTCAATTGCAAGTCCCATAAAGGATTTTGGTTATAGTTAGAGTTGCTTAGTTGCATAAAAAGGGTTGTGGATGTTGCCAGTTTGACAAGTTGGTTTATAAATACAGCTGTGAAACTGCTCTCCCTAAACAATAAAGCCTCCCCCCTGTATCCTCCTAGCACAAAGGTACATTTCTTACAGGCATTTTTTTCCAGACAATTCTTGGCAGCATTTACATAACCTGGTTGAAAACACTCCTGCAGCCAATTAGATGCCTGCTCTGAAATCCAAAGCTCTGATTAAAGTGATGGACCATTCCAGGACTGTAATATCTGTACAGATGGTTAATATGCATGGCTTGCTCTCCAGGGGAAAAAAGTGGCTTGTTTTTTTTTTTTTTACAAGTACCTACAGTCTGAGCTTTCCAATGGGAAGTGCTGTTTCGTTCAGATTGTTATTTGAAAGCCATCATCAGATTAGAGGAGGCAAAGGGAGATGATCAGATAATCCCTGAGGCACAAAAGGTTTTGATACGGATTTCAAGAGCGCTGTCACCTGTGGTCAGTTTTCACAGCTCAGGGTGCTTCTCTGCACTTTCATAGAACACTCAGGCTCAGTAGCTGTGCACCTCAAGAAATGTGGGGTGTTGTAGCAGTCTGTGAAAGGAAGGAGCTTCTGAGCTGGCTTCTCAAATGATGGGTGACCTACTGGTAAACCCTGATCTCGCTGGGTTTGTTTAGCTTTCCTTGAAAATTAGAAAACATCCTAGAGGAACAGAGAAGAACAGCTACTGCTGCTGTGGGCCCCGAGATCTCTCTATACATAATGTGGAAGAACAGGACCAAAAGGAAGGATTTCTGGCTGCTGGGGATACGGGTTCTATTTACAGTCTGCTGGAACTCCAGTAGCAGGCTGCACAGCTCAAACAGCACAAACACTGACAGAGCACGAGTGAGAAGCAAACCCTTTTGCTCTCTGCTGGGCTGCAGTTTCCCTGGCTCTGTATCTGGTGCAAAAATACAGAACTAAAACTGTAACTGAGTTTCTTACAATGGTAGAATAATTAAAAGTGATAGATTGGAGTGACTTTGTCAGTGGAAGTTCTCATATTGGCATTCCCTAATTCAGGATTTTAACCTTTTCCAGAGTCCTCTTTGTCAAAACCTCAGGAATCCCCAGCATTTCTCAGGCAGGAACCAGCACATGAGGAAGTAATTAATGAGAGCAGGGAAGGAAAAGAAAAAAAAAGAATGTGCTGAATAGATGCAAAGCTGAGACTCAAATCCCTCTTTCCCCAGGCTGCCTTCTCAGTCCTCAAGATGCAGACAAAAGACATTCCAGCTCCTGACAAACAGCCTGGGGAGATGCTGAAGCATCCATCAGCCCCACGGGACATTCCTGATTTCTGCAGAGGAGCATTTGGACTGAAGGCTGGCTGATGCACAGGGGCTGTGCAGTGTAGGTGGATACCTGAACCAGCAGCAAGGTTATCCCTGGTCCCATGTGAAATGATCTGGCAGGCATAGGGTGAGCGATTAGAGGGGTTCTGCTTTTCAGAAAGGCCTGAGCACTAAATTTCAGCTATTTCGTGTTTGAGTGTTTCAATACAGAATGCTCAGTGTGTTAAGTGTGTTTTATTCTGGAAGCTGTGCACAAGTGAGGACGGTTCTCCAAATCTCCCACTTTCCTGTAGGCAGTTTCTCCCTCGTGCTGGCACTCACCTCAAAAGATGTATCAATTCCATTGAAAGTGCTTGTGTATGGGAACTGCTACGTCACGGCCTGAAGCTCTGATTGATCACCTGAGGTGAGCCATGAGCCAGCCAGAGGAGCACAGGTGAAAGCAATTCACCTGTCCTAGACCTATTTAAGAGCTGGCTACCAGTGGGGAAGGATCTCACCTGGAGATCTTTTCTTCTGGTGCTTTCTGTAGGTAAGCCTAGCACACAGGTAAACCTTCCATTTGTTCTCCTTATTATCATAGTATCATAGTCTACTTCACCTAACTCTCTTGTCTATTTTGTGATTATAGCATCTTAATATCCATTGATTATACAGCTTGTAAAGAGTAACTTCAAAAACATAGCTGTTTTGGATAAATCATAACCTTACAGGATGCTGTGCCTCTGTATCCCCATCTACAGATTATGGAGACATTCTGCTATTTCCCAGCAGTACTACAAAGCTCCTTTGATTAATGCTTGTAAAACTGTTCCTGACTCTTAGATGGGAATTGCTGCTGAAGCATTAATTGTTATGATTTTTGCTTATTCTCCAGATGCCTGAAACATGGAACTTGGCAGAACTCCAGAGGAAGCGTCCTTCTGAGCTCAGATAAGGGACAAGCCAACTTGGCAGCTGGGCTGCTGGTGCAGGCAAGATTCATTACAAACCTGGGGGCTTTAGCTGAGCTCAGCACACAGCTGTGCTGTGCAGGAGGGCTGTTCTCTCCTGCCCCTGTCCAGCTGAGCATCATCACCTGCCTGGGTAAAACAGGTCGGATTCTGCCAGGAGGAAGCAGCCCATGTAGAATCATAGAACCAGTTGAGTTGGAAGGGACATTTAAAGGTCATCTAGTCCAACTTCCCTGCACTGAGCAGGGACACATAGTGCTAGATCAGGGTGCCCAGAACCCTGGCCAGCCTACCCTTAAAAACCTTAAGGTTTCAAGGCTGTTTCCCTTGTTAACTAATGCCAGTGTCCCTCCTGATAGCAACAAGTGCCCACCACGTAGGCTTTGGGCTCCTCGGCTTGTTTATAAAGGGGAGGGGAAAGCAAACACGTGGGAGAAGTTGGTTTGAGTTGTTCCTGGGTGGGAGCAGGGATGTCTGCTTTACTGCTCGCAGTGGGCTCGGCAGGCGGCCGGGAGAGGTCGGAGGGGCCGAGGACTCCGTGCCGGCTTTGGGGGCAGCGGGGGCACTCTCCCAGCCCCGGGACTTTCTCCCAGCCTCGGACCTCCGCTTCCTCCCGGCAGCCGCAGGCGGGGAGGGAAGCAGAGGGGAGGGAGCAGCAGCGCTCCTCATCCCACGGCTTATTTTTTCCGGTCGGTGCTGGAGAGGGGGAGGTGGGACAACCCTCCCCTCCTCCTTCTGCAGCACATGGGAAGCAAAAGTTTCTCTGCTGCTGCTTCTCCTCCTCCTGGTCCCCCCGGTCCGGACCCCGCCGAGGTTCGCTGCTGAAGGATGCGGCGCGGCTCGAACGGCGTTGGGCTGCGCTGCGCTCCGCCGGGCGATGAGGAGTAAACCGCTTTTGGAGCATCTTCCGCTTCTCCGAGGGCTGGGGAGGAGTGAAGGCGAGACTTGGATCGAATCTTGCAGAGAGTAACCTGAGGGATCTGTGGATTTCTGGAGCGAAGGAGCTGTTTGAGGGAGAAAAAAGAATCAGATGCTTTAGCAGCGCCAGGGAGGCAGCGCTGCATCGCTTTGCTTCAGCCCCACCATGGGCACGGGCATGTGTTCGAGGAGGCAGAAGGGGCTCCTGCAGACCGGGTTTTGCCTGCTGGCCGTGGCGTGCCTGGGCTCGGGAGCTTTCCTGTACCACCACTTGCAGCAGAAGGTGAGGAGTGCCGAAGCCCTTGCCCAGAAATACAAACAGCAGCAGGAAGCACTGTCTGCCCAGCTCCAAGGTGAGTGAGCGGCTGCGTGCGCCTGCTGAGCTTCCTTTGCTCCAGCACAGCCCAGCGATGAGTGGGGGGCCTTCGTGGAGTGAGTCCTGACTGCTCTCTGGACCCTGAAAGTGAATGAAGAGGCAAAAGGGGTCCATCAGTAGAGGTTGTCATCATATCATCTCGTCTGTTTCCTTTGGAAGGAAACAGACTCATTGCCATCTTCTCTAGAGATTGGTCTGTGGCTCTTGTCAGTCTGTTTGGGGCTGATTGGATGCTTGAAAAAAGAAAAAAAAAAAAAAAAAAAATCCACAGAAAGCAGGGAAGGTGGTGAATGGGCTTCTCCAAGCTCCCTTACCAGGTACAGGCTGGTGGGCAGTGAGGGCAGGAAAACTCAATCCTCTGATGAGAGCTGCTGGAAAGCAAGCATGTTGTATATATTCCCATCGGTCTGCCTTGCTTACAGAGCTGTCTGCCTGTGGGAGAATGATGCTGTAGCTGTGGAGATGTTCCGGTAGGGAAGGCTGGGGATGAGTTATGCTGTTCCACTGCTGAACTCTCTTCTTCTGCAGATCTGCATGCTTGATTCTTCCTGCCCATGCCAGAGCCACGCTGCCAGCACCTCTTGCTGGGCTTGGGCTCTGGAGATAGCTTTGCTGAACTCACTGCAGAGGGGCTGGGTAGAAATCCACTCTTTGGTAGCCAGTGGTTGTGTGTAGTGCAGGAGGATGGTTTTTGTGGAGTGCCCACAGCACAGCTCTTATGTGGATGCGATTCTGCTGGCATGTGGTGCCTGTGCCCTGAGGTCAGGGACTCATTTAGGGCTTTTTTTTCTCATAGTGAGCAGGATTAGATTATGGCATTTAAATCCAGAGCTCTTCCTGGGACTAAAATCAAATGCAGGGTATCTGTTATGGCCTCTGTTCACACACAAAGTGACACTGTTTCTATCAGCTGCATGGTTGGAAATACCCCAGATTTGTGGCTCAAGATACGTGGGCTCTGGGTTAAGCCTCTTCAGGTGGTTTTGTTTGCAGTCATGATGCAAAATGAGTGCTGAACATAAGCTTTCTGTGCTCAGGGCTGTGCATTTCTACCTGTGAATTCAGGAAGGAAGATGTGATGTGTGCTGGTGTTATTATGGATTTGTTGGGTTTTTTCAAAAGTATGTTTCCTTGGGAGACAATGTTGTGAATCAATCTAGCAAGTATATGGGTTTACTGCAATTATCTTACATTTCTTCTTGCTCTGCCATGAAACATTCAGACACCTGCAGCTCTGGATGTGCTGCACAGCCCCTGCAGTCTCCTCCTGCATCCCGTGTTTGAGATGCAGACACCAGCAGGGCAGGAGCTGGCCCACATTCCTTTCTGGTATGTCAGCATCTCTTGCTGCTTGCCCTGGAGAGGGGCTGGCTCCTTAAGGAGCAAACTGACAGCAGCAGCCTCAGGGAACCCCATTTCTGTTGGCTGCAGCCAACTGCTGAGACAGGCTCATAGTATTTTTCCTCTCAAAATATGTTTGAATAGCAGTGCTGTTGCCTGTTGCTGGGGTTTCTAACCCTCTGCAAGTCCTCCGATTCCTAAATACAGTTGTTGCCATGGATACACTTTGTATTTTCAGAAGCCACTTGTCCAACAATTTTAAGAGTCAAAGATTCTTTTTTTTTTATGATGTGGGAGAGGTGCTTGGCAGGTAGGAGCACGCTGCATGCCTGGCTGTGGCTGGGAGCTGGCTGCCTGTGCCCTGGGGGCTCTTGTGCCCCACGCTGCCTTGGTGCATGGCTTCAACTGTCTTCTGCATCTGATTCATCTTTCCAGCTCTGCTAAAGGAAGATGTGTTGTTATGAGGTGGATTTTGGTGCTGTTTATTTATTGTATTTACTATTATTCATACACCTGAGTGCAGTTGATGCTTCTGCCTCTGTAAGTAAAGCTGGAAAGGGCATGGGTTGGGCTGATGGCAGCCTAAAGTGAAAAGAAGTGAGTGGAGGAGGGAGCAGAGCTGAATATCTGGATCTGTCTTGAACAAGCCAAGCCTGTCCCTGGGGAATGGGCCTTATCTTCTCCTGCTCAGAATAAAAGCAAAGCTACTGATCTTGCTGTAGTGTAAAACACAGCATGCAAAAAGACACCTCCTCCCTTCTCAGTGTAGTCCAGATGGCAACAAGGAGCAATCTGCTGGGCTTTTCTGTCCCTGTATCACCGGTGTTCCTGCTGGGTGAGGATGTGCCTGAGACCACGTGGAGGCTGCTTACCAGGTCCTGGGCACTGCTGGAAGTGCTGGGACATGGAGAACTCTGGGTGATTCTGGAGTTCAGAATCACCCAGAGTTGTCGGCTGTGATGTGATGGGATGGAGGCTGGCAGGAGTATTCAGTGCCTATAGCAAGGAGAGTAACTGAGAGTTTTCTCTAGGTGATTAGCTGGAACTGCCTGTGAAGCTGGAATCACTCTCCTCCTGTCATGGGTCTCCTAAACTCTCCCTGGCAGATGTTTATCTCAGCACAGCTGAGCTAACAACCCCTTCGCAGAGTCACCCAGCACTCCGAGATCTTGTAAAATGAGAACATGTCTGTGGAAGGCCTGGCCTGTTCTCCTTCCCCAAAGGCAGGACGCTGTGTGGGATTTCATTGTTTCAGCAGTTCAAGTTCTGCATTTTTAGCTCATTTGTCAGCAGGTGACAGTGCTTTAGTGCTGAGTTCTGGCTGGATTCCAGCCTAGTTTTAGGCACCAATCACCCTCCATTCCCTCTTATGATTGCAAATTGTTAAAGACTTCCTGGCTTCCTGTCTGCTGAAGCTGTAAGTGCCATTTTGGCGTGCTGAGCTGTTGCTGGGTCCCACTACAGAGGTGAGCAGGAAGACAGCTTTATGCAGCAGCTGCTGAGCTCTGCAAAGCTCAGCCCTACTTCTCTGGTTTGTGCAGACCTGGTGATATAGTGGGGGAGATGACAGCTCCTTTTCTGCTCCTTGGAAATTATCTCAGGGGCAACTGCAACTGCTTGGGTGTGATGGCCTGTCTGGGGAATGGCTCCTCACTCTGGGGTTGAACTGAGTTTGTCTCACCATGAGCCCAAGCTGGCAAGCCTGAAAGAAAGTCCTCGTCCCTGCAGTATCTAAAAGAAGTGTACTCCAGGAACAGCCAGCTGGTCTGTCTTGTATTGCTGATGCTTGATTTCAGTCCAGGAAAAGTCACCATCTGGAAGTACTGAGGTTGCTTCATGGGGGACAGTAGGATGCTGAGGTATTTGGATTCAGCTTGTGCTTTGAAACTGGGCCCTCAGTGTGTCAGCTGCTGCCCTACCTGGCTGAGTTTTGCCTCCAGGTGGCTTGGGAAAGAACTGAACTACTGAATTATCGTCACCGACATCATTAGGTCCCAACCCCTTATTATTCCTGGCTTGAATTATCCCTCTTCCCTTTCCCTAATTTGCTCAGGCTCTCAATTGTTGCTGGAGATGACTGTAAATAGCAACGGATCTGTTGCTGGTAAACCAGAGTGTTGCAAAGATCCCAATCTTGGACCCAGCCAGTGTCATGATTTAGCTTAAAAGTCACTGAGTTAAACCAGCTGGGGTTTTTCTTTCTGGGCACAAGAGGCACTTCCAGCTGGGAAGGAAAACATCATTCATTGTGAGTCTCTTTAGTAAAGCCACCAAACTTGGATCTCTTGTGATCCAACGGAACACTCAGAACAGCAGCTCCCCAAAGTAGCTCCCCAAAGTTCTTGAAGGAAGTGATGTGGGAGCACAGGCTGTGAGAGAGGCAAGTCTGTGTGCAAGATATTGGAGAGTGTTTCTTTCCAGCACTTCATTCAATGCCGTGTTGGATTTGTGCGCCTGGCGCTCCTGTTGCTGCGCTGTGATCAGTCTCTGCTCTCTCCTTGCTCTGCCTGCAGGTTTGCTGAAGGCTTGGCAGTTATTTAAAGTGAGAAACAGCCAACTCACTCTGACATCTGGGTTTTGCTTCGCTTGCAGGGAGTCTGAAGGCTAAAACCCATACATGGTTATGAGACGTGACTGGTGCTGGGCTGCCATTTATCGGTGAATAGCTGTGAACTTCATAGTTGCTTGTTTGCAGAAGTGGAAGCTGAGGAGATGGGTGGCTAGAATTCCTTTCCTGGAGAGAAAAGATTGATGTGGGAACAAGATGCTTTTCTTTGGGTGGTTTTTGTTTTCCTTCAGGGTCTGCAAAGGTGTGAGATCTGCAGGTGGTAAGGTAGGGAGGACTATTCTAAGTTTGATCTTCGGCTTTGCAATTCCTGGTTGAGCTGTAGTATTATTTATGAAAGTGTCCTGGCCTGACTTCTAGGATGTGTGATGATATCAATCCCATTGGTTCATTTTCCTGGACACTGTGCAGCACCCATTGTGTGATTTGTCCCAGTGTCCTTGGCTTTGGAGGTGAGGTTTTACTGCCCCGGTGTCTGAATTGCTTGGAGCCCCACGCTGTTATGTGGCAGTCTCTGCACAGAGGAGATGGAGCAGCTTCTGGTTGCAGCTGAGTGCTGTGGCTCAAGGGTTGCTCTTTGTTACCATTCAGACATCAGAGTGCATTAAAATCATCATCCATCAGGAGGTTTCTCTGGCGCTTCCATTTGTCATGTGGCCAATGCACAAAGCAGTCTCGTCCTTCTATCTTCTTGCTCCTCTGTGCAGAGCACAGATGCTCTTTTGTATCTAATGGGAGAGAGAGCTGCTGGCACACTCTTCCTTCATGTCCTTGAGGGCCAGTTAATGGTTGCGATGGAGAAAGAGAGAAAACATCTCTCTTGCATGCTGCTGGTGTGGAGCAGAAAGCTTGGCAGTCTCTGGTTATCTTAGTCCTAGTATTGGACTTGGCCCATAAACACATAGTTCAGCCACTGGCCACTACATCCAGCTCACAGCTTGTGTTCCTAAGTGAAACCTGAGTGCAGAGACAGGAAGAGCTGCGAAGCAAAAGAGGCCTGTTGCTCATGTCTAATTGATTGGGCACTTGCTGGCCTGATCTGTGGGAGGACTTGAGGGCCAGGTGTGCCCCTGTGTGCATGACCTGCAGAATAATGTCTGGGAAGAAATGTCAGGGTTTAGCTCATGCTCTGCCTCTTTCTGCTTCCCCAGTTGTGTATGAGCACAGATCCCGACTGGAGCGATCCCTGCAGAAGGAGCGAGGGGAGCACAAGAAGACAAAGGAAGGTAAGTTGGCAGAGTGGTGGAGCAGCAGGCAGCTGACCTTCCAGCTGTGGGCAGATGCACGTGTGGCATCCAGAGGCCTTCAGCACAGTGTGTGTATGTTACTCAACACTCACCAGGCAGTAGTGAGCTGACTTGTCTATTGCCTGTGAGCTGGGGGGTGGGTTCTGTTCTCTCATATCCCTGCCTATATTCTCAGTCTAATCTGTGAGTGATGGCACCCACGATGTGGTGTCTGAGCACTCTAGAAGAGATGGCTATATCTGGTATTAGACTGCTTTTTTCTTGGAAATAGTAAACTTCTTAAAAGTGATCAGAAGATGCTGAGCTCTACAAGGGCTTGTTAACAATGTTGGCATCCCTGCACGTGGTGGTATGTGGACACTATGGACTGATGCATCTTCTAAAACTGATGTACAAGATTAAACGTTCACAGGCAAGTCCTTGTAAATCCCTGCTCATTTAATTGTCTTTTCTTCCATTTCCAGATTTTTTAGTGTACAAATTAGAAGCTCAGGAAGCTCTCAACAAGGAGAAGGTAGGTACAGTTTATTCCTCAGGGCATGCATGTGTATTTGCATGGACACGTGAAAGAATGTTTTTTAGTACTACCATGCTTATAAGGCTGGGGCTGCTGTCTTGAAGATAACATGACAAGTGCAAGAAAAACTTTGGCTGACTTTATTTTGCAAGGTTGTTGGTGTTGGAAGATCTCTTTCACCTTCAGGAGAGACTGTTGTGCCAGAGCTATTGTGCTTATTCTCTTGTGAGATAGCACAGTGGAAGGCTTGATTGTCAGCTGTTGGTGTGGCAGGGAGTCCTGCGCTGCAGGCAATAAGAGTTCTTCTGAGAAGAGAATTTCATGGTACAGAAGAGTCCCGGGGGAGCTGAATTCAATATATACTGCAGGGAGCATGGAGAACAAAGGCCATGAGCAAACCTATCCATTTTCTTTTCCAGGGCTAGACAAATGATTTCTACTGGCCTGTGAGTGGCAAAGTTGACAGGAAAATGTTGAAATGGAGAGTGTTCAGGATGTGCAGTGTACTCAGTACTGTTCATACTCGGCTGAGCTTTTGGCTTTTCTGAGACCTAATGGCACTATTGACTCTTATTTATTTTTCCCTAGCAAGACTCAATGAACAGATATGGGGCCCTCAGTTCCCAGCACAAGATCCTGAAGGTAAGATTTTGGTCTGGTTCCAATGCTCACTGTGTGCTGCAAGTTAGAAAGTGCCCCGGAAGGCAGGTGTGGGTTGTTCCTTACCACAGATGCCTGGGACAGACCATGGGCTTCCTGCAGCTAGTGCCAGCCCAGAGGGAGGAGGCCACACTGTGGTGTTGATTCACGTTCCTTCCTGCCTATTCAGGTTGATGGGAGTTCTCTCATTTGTTCTGTTGGACTTTGCATCAGATTACAGCCTTGGTGTACACTTATTTCAATGGCAGTCTTTGTGCAGCTTATCACGCAGGAGTTTTGTTCAGGATGTTCTCTTCTGTGTTCCTTACCATGAAAATGGGCCTCTTTGCTGCAGCTTGCCTCATTAGGATAGGAGGATGTTTGAGGCAACATAAGCAGCTCAGGTAGGAGTGGCTCATAGCATTTTTTATCTTATCATGTGCTCTACCTGAACTGTATCATAACATTAAAGTTGGGTTTTGTTAGCACACTGCCACTGTGGTCTCATTGCTGGTGACTTTCTTGATGTCTAAAGTTGGAGTGTTCCCAGCCCAATGGTGACTTAGTGCTGGGGCTCAGAGAGCAGGCTGACTTCCAGCAGCATTGTGCACCACTGAACAGAGCTGGACGCCCAGCTGCCTGCCTTTGGATCCCAGCCCTGGGAGGAGGGAAGTACAGCTCTCCTGGGTGTTATCCAGCTCTGCAGACTCTGGGAACACTTCAGTCATTTTTTGTCTTCGCAGTAACTACAACATGAGCAGCGTGGTCCAGCTTGCTTTTCTCACAGGGACAGTGAGAGCACTTTATCCTGGCTCCCTTTCTCTTGCTTCCTTTTATTGGAATAAATTTTTCATCTATTTTGTGTAACTGCATTTACAGCTGCTGAAAGAAAGATGGGCCCTTGGGACTGAAGTCTGGTGGATTGCAGCTTCTCCCCTGGAAATGCTGCATGCAGCTCAGCTTGTAGCTAGCTATGGAGCTGTGAATAATATTTGTTTTTGGAGTATAGGTGAAAAATGCTTCCCACACGGATTATCCTCTTCACAAGGAATAGTGCTGCCAACTTGATCATTATTGAGGAAGCGAAAAGGGATGATTGAGGATGTTTAGCATTGAATAGAAGCATCTAGCCCTGTTAAGGTGAATGTCCCAGATGTGACTAAAGAATTCCATGAAGCCACATCAGTATATCTGGCTTTTGTGTTTGTGGCCACTGTGCTGTACGTGGAGGTTTGCCTCCACAGATAGCTCTGTTAGATAGCTCTAACACAGATAGCTCTCCAGTTGCCTTTTGCTGCTTAGAGAAAAAGGATCACGTTTACTTGACTCCTGAGCTGTCATTCTGATCTGTAGTGAAGGTACCTGTGTCTGATTAATGTCTACAACAGACAGACTGATCTCAGGGGCTTGGCTCTGTCCAAAAATAGCAGCTGGAGCAGTTGCCTGCTGGGGCCAGATTTCATCTCCTTATAACTTCTTTCACCCTCCTGAATGGAGGTGGAATTTTTTCTTTTTTTAACATCTTTCTGCAGAATGCCTCCTAGCACCCCCGGAATATGCAGGCAAGGAGGAGGGTGGCTTTAAACAAAGAATTGTTCACATGAGCTTCCTGAATCTGCAGGAACCTGGAAACTTGCAGTGAGGTGTGCCCTTCCTTTGCTTGTGGGCAAAGCATTCAACCACTGATCCTATTTTTGTATGGTGCAGCCCACAAAGCTGCCTTCTAAACTGTAGCAGAAATGTGTGGTTTTCAGGTTTTCATTCTCTCTCTCTCTCCTCCCATCCGTGCTTGTTTCCCCAGGCATGGTGGAGAGATGCTGTGCCTGAATTGCAGCAGCTGTATCTTCTCAAACCCCACTGGGAATGTGGGATGCAAAGTCTCACTGGCAAAAGTCCATCCAGTTGAGACAAGGGGTTCCCTGTTTCACAGATGGGCTGATTTCTGGCAGTGATGTGCAGGGTCACAGTGAAAGGTGATGGTGGCATGGGCTCTGTGTTTGCACAGCAGGCACGTAACATGTTCCAGACCTGCTGTCCTGCAGCTCCCAACTAGCTTAGCATTTTTAGGTGCCTGAAATGTGCATACATGAGTACAATTCGTGGGAATGAAGATACTCTGGGTGCTTAACAAGCTGGACCAGGACCAGGTGCTCTGGGTGACCTCAGCCAAGGCAATTCTCTCTCCTCAGTCTCCTGCTGCTATCAGAGGATGAATATTCATTCCTGGCCGTGAGCAGTCTGGGGTCAGACATTATGCGTATCAGACACAATATGGGCCAGAAATTAATTGACCTGAGCTGATGAGGCTTAAGATTCCTTGAATTGCTTAGGGTTCTGTATTAAAACCAATTCTCACATGCTAGTGCTGGTGCTTCTCTGAGATGGTTAGCATCCAAATGATTTCAGGGGTCTGATTCCCCTTTGCTGCTCTTTACCCACAGTCTCTGAAAGCAAGAGCAGGAATCTTTTTCTTTTTTTTTTTTTTTTTTTTTAATTCTCTATTTTTCTTCCTGATCCTGTGATCTGATGAACCCAACACCCTCTTTGTTCTCTCTCTGGAACCCTTCCTTACTGAAGGCTTTTTCTTCTGTGTTGCATTTATTTTTGGAGCATAGTTATTTCTTTTCTTTTAGCTGAGGATAATTGCTCCAGGGGAGAATGCCCAGGACACAGACACTTTGTTTCACTGGGGATAAATGCCAGCATCGATAGCATCTAAATTAAAAAAAAAAAAAAAAAGGGAAAGAAAGGAAGAAAGACATTTGTTTCATGTAAAGGCCAATTGAAATTGCTGCCTGAGTTCTGAGGAGCTGCTGTGTAGAGAGGCCAGGGTTCACCTGTGGGCCAATCCATCTGCATATGTAATTGGTGTTGACAAACTGCATGTGGAAGTGTCTCTGGGTTACCATGGGAACCTGAAAGGAGGTGAATTCTGGTTCAGTGGGTCTCAGCAGAAGGATATCTCAGTGTGTTGTGTTACTGGGCTCTGCAGAGGTGAGAGGAGGAGAGCATTGGAAAGCTGTTATCAGATGAGTTCTGGTCTGCTTCAAATATGGTCTGTGGTCTTGTGAGGGTCCTGTTATCCTGGTGTCTGATCCCCACGTTAACATGAGGAGTGTGGGCCCATCTTTGGCTGCACTGAGATGTGGCTCAGCTCCTGTAACACAGTGTAGCTGGTGCTACATGCACAGAAACATTCATCCTTGCAGGTAATGCTGCCCTTCAGCATCTCCAGGACTCTGGAAAGGACCTGGGACTTATGCAGCATTTCAGTGGTATTTGGTGTGATATCAGCAGAGCTGAGTGCTGAGGAGGAGTAGGAGTGTTCTTGGCTGTGTCCCAGAGTCCCCATCTCTCTTCCATGAAGCAGTGGACTTGCTCACACGCTTCTCTTCTATTTTAGTGGCTTCTGAGGAGACCTCCCTTCAATTTATTTGGCATTTTACATCCCTCCTACACTACAAAAAGAACACTTTTTTTTTTTCTGGCATGTTTAGTTACCTTACTGGAGGAACCAGAGGCTCTTCTGCCTCTTCTCCCCAAGCAACTCATTAAACAAGCTCTCAAGTAACACTTGACAACAGTTAGATTACTTTTCTCCTCCTTTGTTGTACTGACTTCGATGCTTTTTGTATTCAGAACCAGCATGAAGATGTCAAGAAGCAGCTGATTGACCTGCAGCTACAGCACAATAGCTTGAAACTCGAGCATCGTAAGACTCTGGAGGCCCATAGCCAGAAGTATGCCCAACTCCAGCAGGAGAAGGATAGTGAAGTCACAAATTTGCAAGGTGAGTATGATGGAGAGCCAAGAAAACACTGGGCAGGGAAAAGAGTAAACATCTGAGCTAGGGAGAGGGCAATGATTGTTCTTCAGGTCTCCCAATAGATGTTCAAACACTGTAGGAGAACCTATGTGAGACAGTGTGCAGTGCCAGCCCTGAGCACAGGCATGGGAGACCTATACATGGGATTCAACCTCTCCTTCAAATAAGCAGCTACCAGTGGACTAAGAAAATGAATTCTGCCACAGGAAAGAATAACACTCAGAAAAGCAATTGTGAAGACAGAAGCTAGTCAGGAAGGTCAGCTTAAGGCTGAGATATATTAATATTCTCTGCCTGCCTTAATGGGCAGCTGTTTATTTCATCCTATCTCTTTTCTGCGCTTCAAGCTCAAAAGCTACTAACTTTTCCCATAAAAGAAAGTACAGATGACTGTGGCATACAAAAGAGCAAGGAAGTCTCTTGAGAGGTGGCAGACACAGAACTAGCAGCGTTGCTAATACCTCATTTTCTTTCCTTATGTTCCATAAATGCTTTCTATTTATAATATGTCCCAAGGAGAGGTGATGGAAGACGTGCCTTGTCGGCAGGTAGAATAAAGAACGAGCAAGATCTGAGCAGAGGACATTGCTCCAAGTTGTTAGAGTGGAACAGAGGGATTTGTGCCAGGTTCAGTTATGAAAAGGAAACCTTTGCCCCAGGTGTGCTGGAAGAAGGCAGAAGTCCTCAGGGAAGCATGAGGAGCTGTTTTCAGCAGTGGAACCAGGTTTAGCTGCTCCTCGTGGTCACCTTGTGCTTCAGAGCTTTGGGTAGCTTTCATGTTGCTGACAAAGCTATCGATGCACGCGTGATGCAGGCTATGGGATGATGCTCTTGTGCCATGCAGCCCAATGGTTGTGATGCTGTTGGGGTGTTTGTGCCCCATTCTTCTGAGTCTCTCCTTCTGGAAGTGGTTTTTGATTACTAATTGACAAGATATTAACATATGCTCTTGCCAAGCCTGCTGAAGCTTCCTGATGTTGCTAACAGGAGCCTTTTTAATCCTGTTTGCATCTCCCCCTTCCTGCTGCATTATGATCTATTTTCTCCTCAACTTTGTAAAAATTGCCATCTATTTATGCTGTGTTTCACACTCCAGCACAGCCTGTCCTCTGCTGCTCCCCCACTCTCATTTTGCACTTTCCACTTTTCCCTGCACAACCTGTTCTGAAGGCAGAGGATTGGGTTTGATCACTGCTGAGCTTGTGTTACAGATAACAGATAACCCCATTGTCACAACTGAAACTTTTGTCTTACTGAAGCCATTGATTAAAAAGCTGTGGTGAAGTCATTTGGAGCAAGACTTCACATTTCTGCCTCTTATCTTGGCATGAAGGCTTTGATTTCGAGGTTCTGAATATGCTTTGAAGACCCGGATGTGACTGAGACATCAGCTCAGTGAAACTGCTTCATCTCTCCTACACCAGAGAAGCCTCTGGTTCTCTTGAAGGCTGGTGGAATTCCAGACCATGGCGAGAGATCTTAGCAGTGGCAGTCCTGGAGCCTTCTTTGTTCCTGCTGTTAACAGCCTTCACCACAAGGGAAGGACACAGCACACAACCTCAGTGGCACTGTCCTGTCCCAGGGATGGATGTTTAAGAAAGAGATACCACTGTAATAACAGCTCAGCCACTGCTGAGCTGCAGTCAAGCACGTGATTTGGCCTACAGCACTGTCCTGTTATGGGGAGAACTTCCCTTCTTGTCAGGGCAGATGCAGCAATGCCTTTTTGCAGAGCAATCACTGTGTGCACAGTTATGGTGATATTCTGAGAAAGCTTCAGGCTCCAAAATAAGGCTGACATTTTTTGATGCTGTTTTTCTTTTCATTGGAGGGTACACAATTATCTGCAAGGCACTGAAACAGAAGTTTATTGTGTCTTGTCACTGAAGCACTAAGCATGCAAAGAGCTTGAAAGGACTCAGGTTTGGGAGCTGCAAGGCACAATCTTGCTACTTAACAGGATGGGAATGAGCATCCCTGGGGACTAAGTTGTCCTGTTTGCTTTCTGTATGTTGCCTGCATGGTTTTGTTTTGCTTGCACTAGCCTTTCAAGGCTCAGCTTCTCTGTGCAGCTGGAGGGAAGCTCTGTGTTGGATCTGCAGGGTGGATTCTGGAGCTCTGAGGTTTCAGTTGGAATTTATGGTGAGGAAGAGACTCTGTGATTGCAGAAACAGCTCCTCAGATAAATTTGTTCTTTTCTTGCAGATACAGTCTTTAAACTCAGAGAAGAGAGCAAACTTCTTCGCAAGGCCCACCAAGAAGTTCACTCTCAGCTACTTAATGCCCAGGTAATGGACAGAGGGGCATCCAGGGCCACATGGGACAGATGTACACTGGGGCCTTTGTGCACCATGAAACACTCTCTAAATAATAAACCTACTTAGCAGCTTTATTCCTACATGGAAGCTGCCTATGACAGTGCTAGAGGAGCCGTGTAGAGGGTTTCTGGACAAGTAAAATTCTCCAACCTGGAATCTGTCCCAGTAGCTGAAAATAGATGAGCGTGAACCATCTTATTCCCAACCTTGGGATGCTTGCTGTCACTTATCTGCATCTCAAATTCTTCCACCATAAATGATGACAAATTGCTTCTGCTTGTAAAAAAATTAACTGCAGAGTGATACACCAATGCAGAAGTGCCTCGACAAGCTTGTTGGGAGTACAAACAGAAGGGTCTCCTTCCATGTCTGCTTTTGAAGCATTAGTAGAGCATCAGACCTTGAAAAGTATCAGAGTTTTGTAAATAAGATGTCACAGCTCCATAATGGAAGAGCTGGAGTGAGGCTCTGTATGTGGAGGCCAGGGGCACAGGTGGAAGCAGTGTTAGAAGAGCATGGAGTTCACCTGGCATGGTGTTGTGCTCGTGCTCTGCAGGTTGTGTCAGCCTTTCCAGCATGCTGCAGAAGTTCTGCCCCCACCCAGTGCTGCTTACTCCTGCTGAGTACTGTTGCATTGGGCACAGCTGGTAGGACCAATCCAAATTACCATGCTGCATTAGAGAAAGCAATCAGCACATCAAGTGTGCAAACTTGAAGATACTCTGAGTAGTATTTAAGAAAACTTGACTGGAGATAGTTAAGGCTGCCAAGCTGAGTGCTTGCAGACTGAAGAACATGATGGCAGCTTCTGTGCTGCCAGCCTTAATGCACGGCCCCTTCAGCACTGTGACCAATGGGAACAGCAGATTGCAAGAAACAGCTCACTGTCATTACTTGCCAAAAGTGGAAGTGAGCAAAGAGTGAAAGGATTTGCCCAGGGAGTGGGAGACAGAGCTCAGCTCCTTGCTCTGAAGGTACCAGACGGTTGTGTTACAAAGCCATGCTCCAGCCATCTGTCTGCTCTGCTATTTCTGCTTCCTTGGGAAGCAGTAGGGCTTGATCCAATGAGTTCAGAAAACACTTTGGATCTTTTTTGACAAGGAGCCTACTGTTAAGTCCTACAGTTTTCTGTTCCGTTTTCTGATCGTTTCTTTCTGGCATTTCATCAGTGCTTCAAACACCAAGGTGAAAGGGATCACATTGCCTTTGGTGGGGCTGGATGCCACATGTGGGATCAAGGGCCCCACGGGCATGCAGCCTCTCCCAGCACAGCCATGCTTCCTTGTGGTGCCCCTGTGCCAGGTTCTCTTGTTGCTCTGGCTCTCTTCAGGCAGGGGATGGCTTACAGAGGAGCAATTTGCACTCTAGATGCCACATATGTTCATCAGAGATGCAAATGTGTTCCACAAGCCCTACCCAGAGGACTGAGCCTGCAATAGCTGTCACATCAGTTGTTGTGCAAAGGTAAAATGTGGCACAGGATAATGGAGCACAGCTTGCTGGCATGGGATACCAGCAGCCCTCCAGCTCAGTTCCCTATGACACAGGTTTGCTCCCATTTGGTTGTTCTGACTGTAAGCAGTCCCTTACCATGGCTACGTCCCCTGAACAGCTCTCTGCTTTTTTGTCTTTTCCTCACTCTTTTTATTCTAGCTTTGGTGGATCTTTTTATTGACTTTTTATTTTGTTTCAATGTTTGCCTTAAGGTCAAATTTCAGGGGGAAGAACTGAAATCAACAAAGCCTGCTCAGGAATTAATTTCCTGCTAAACTTCCCTTGCTGCCTTTTCCTGCTCTGCCCAGTCCCCATTCTGGTCCACTCCCAGGTACCTTGGCAAGCACATGAAAAGCTCTCTCCCCTTGCTTCCCTATAAATAAGGGGGGTAGGAGTGGGGAGCTTTTCCTGAATAGCTTTTCCAAGTCCTACTTTTCAGGGTTGGAGCTGGAGGAAATGTGCTGCAGTAGAGAGAAAAAGTGTTGTGTTTGTTGAACAGTCCAAGAGAATTGATTTTTCTTTTGTCTCACGAAGTAAATTGAATTGTCAAGTGGAATTATGCCAATTGTGTTCGTCTTGGAGGGGCTGACAATATCTACAGAGAAGTGCCTCCACAGAAGGAAAAAAAGCGGATGTGAATGTACGTGAGAAGAACAGGAGAGGGAGCCTACAAGAGCCATGATGAGGTTTTACTGTGCAAAAGGAGGAATTACATTAACAGCTTGTGCAGTAAATAGCATTGCTGTTGTGTGTCACTGTTTCTAAGGTAAAAATATGCAATAAAATAAGATGCAAGACTGGCAAAGGGGGATACAGGATATCTGTGAGATCTGGAAGGAAAGCTGAAGGCTAACTTGAGTTTTCCATTGATGATTGTGGATTATCATCAGTCACGTGGCTGTGTCGTGTTTTTTTTGTTTGTTTGTTTGGTTTTTTTGCAGTGTGTCTGAGCTGCACAACAGGCCTTCAGAACTCGGCAAGGAATTGTTCAACCCTGTTATCATCATGTAAGGTTTCTCTTTATTTGTTGTCCCCTCAGACCCAGATGGAAGAGTTCAGACAGCTCAAGGAAGCTCTGCAGAAGATGCCAAGCTTCAAAGGAGGAGGAGGGAAGGGGCAGCAGCAGCTCCAGGTGCTGAAGGAGCAGCCTCTGGATCCAGGCAACAGCCAACTGCAGCTCACGAGGCAGAAGGTGTGATGGTCCTGGGGAACCGGGAGCCTCTCCAGATGATCTAGGGCTTTTGAACTGGGGGGAGCAGTCCTTTCCTCTGGAGCTCACTCTTGTCCTTCTCTGCAGGCTTTTCCAGTCAATCCGGAGCATCGCCCTGCAGGGAGCTCGCTGGCATCACAGCTCTCTGGGGTTCGGAAGCAGGCAGACGGTCCTGTGCTGCAGGGCCGGAGCTCCAACAGCAACGATGGCCTCAGGTCCCAGGTGAACGTGGCCCTCACCCACCCGGCCCCTCTGCAAGATGCCAATTCACCACCAGAGGCTCCGCCAGCCTGGCCAGCAGGACACGGCGATGCTCACATCATCCGATTCACCCGAACTGTGAACAGCCTGCCGAATGGAAGCCCAGTATGTTCTGCAGACCTGGGGTTTGTTTTTCCCTGAGAGCTCTATGGTCTGTGCACTGGGCAGGCCTGCTGAGTTTGTCTCACTTCACAAGCCTGTATAAAAAAAGAACAGCTTTCATTTCTCTCATTTCTCTTGAAAAAGGAAACCAGTTCACTGGGGAACCTTGCTTGCTTCCTGTGGCCTGCACTGAAATAAGAAGAGTTCACATCTGAATTCAGGGCTGTGAAGGGCCATGGGAATGCTTGGGAGTTGCTGTAAATTGTGTGGGTCCCTGCTAGGGAGCACAGCAAGGGACAGTAATGACAACGTGATAATTAACATATAGTTAAATCACAATGACATTAGCTATTATAATTGTAATTTTTTTTTGTAAGAGGTGGTTTTGCTGTTCCTTTTGTCTTGGCTACTTGAGATGAGGGGAGTCCAGATCTCATAGGACTCAAATCACTTCCTTCTGGCTGTGTGGAAGGGGAACAACCTCTCGTACCAGGGGGTGGCTGGACAGGGCTGTCAATTTGTTCTGGGCCACTTCTGAGTCTGTTGTTCTCTAGAAAAAGATCTGCTGGCCCAAATGCAAAGGGAGAGGTCTACAGGAGTACAGTAAGATTAAGAGCTTGGGTACATCCTGAAAGCATTTGTGTGCCCTCTCTGCAGGACGTGAACATGGTGATGCGCATTCAGGTGAGCAGCCATGAGGAAAGCCAAGCTCCTGGATTGTTGCTGTCTGATCTGAAACAACCTTCTGCTGCTGAGAAAACCCAGGTGCCAGACAACCACCACTCAACAGGCAGCAAACCAGTGCAAATACAAAGGTTGGTGATGCAAAGCCCCCTTCTGCTGTCCAAGACCTGTGATCCTGAGACTTCTGTATTTGGAATGGGATAAAACAGCAAAAACTTATGCCAGAAATGAAGACACAGACAGAATCCCCCAGAAAATGCAGGCTTTTGTCCCGTTTTCCTGCATAGTTGCTCTTGAGATGATGTAGTTTATATCAACTTCAGCTTCATCTGGAGAAGGCAAACCAGTTTAACCATGTCTGGGGACCTGTTAAAATTTTCTGAGCCTAGCTAAAACCCTCAGTATTAAAGTTCCCTGTACCTTGAGGCTGTTTCTCCTCCTACTCACAGAGCATAAGGTGTTCTCCAGACCTGCTCCTGGGGCAAATGTGGAGGGAAGCTGTGGGGAGGGCAGCTGCCTGGAAGGGGCTTTCAAAGGAGGGTGTGATGGTGCCCTGCCAGTATTGAGATGGGCAACTCCCACAATTCTTGTGTTACTGCAGGTTATGGGAGTGCAGGCAGGGTTCAGGATCCTGTCATACTGTTTGCTGAACAGGTACAGGAGGAACTGCTTTCTGTCTCAGCAGTACTTACAGAAGACCAGGCTGCTTTGCAAAAGGAAGAAAATGTCTTTCTGAGGCTGTAATTCATTGAATTCTGGCCAAAATCCAAAAACCAACTCTGAAAGTAGTGCTTCCTTGTGTGATTTATTTGTCCTCTGTGTGTGTTCAGGTAATAGCTGCTCAGTTTACTTGAGAGGGGAAAAAAAAAAAAAAAGAAAATTTAATTCCTGTTTCATCTGTAGGAGAAACTTCTGGTTTTCATTCCAAACTATCAGCCAGACTCCACTAGTGTCTTCTCTGCCCTGTATCTCTGTTTGTTCACTTAACCTGCAGACTTCTCAGGTCAGAGATTGTTCTCTGAAGACGGCTGGAGAAGTTTCCTCAGAGTGATATCACACTGCTTTAGTAGGCAGCATCTGCACAAGCACACAGGCACAGCACAGATGTTGTGTTGCCTTCAGCTGAGGGCAAATGCTGAAGCTGGGGCAGCCGAGTGGCCTCTCTTTGGCTGCTCCAAGTCTAGAAAGGATGTTGTCACTGTCCTGTGAAGCACAACATGCAAACATTGGCCATGTTTTGATAAATGACATCTCAAAGGCAAAGAATATGGTATGCTTTTCCTTCCTGGATCTATCATCAAGAAATTATTGAGCAGCTGGAGGCTGTTGTTTACACTGTTATTTGTGGTATGAGTGCATAAGCCAGCTTCCTCAGAAGGTATGGATGCCAAGAGTAACACTGAATCACAGAAGAGGCCATGTGGCTGGTGCCAAGAACCCTTGCACAGGGCGGCTGAGACCAGCAGATTCCAGACAGACTCTGGGTGGCCAGTCTGCGTGTTGATGGCTTTGTAACGGGGGAACCTGAGCTAAAGGCTGGGCTTCTTACTGCAGGTTTGTGTGGTGGTAATATGCTGGGTTCAAAAAGCTGCTAAAGCTGAGGCATTACATTAGGACAGACTTCTGCGTGCATTACGTGTTGTTGTTTGCTGTCTTTAAATGGCATTTTGAAGTTATCTCCTGCATATGCTGAGGTGGGGTCTGTTTTGTTTTGTGCCTTTGTTGCAGCTGGAAGGACATAGTCAGCAAAGTGAATGCCCAGATGGATGATGTGCACAGTTATCCCAAGAGCCTTCACCTCAACTCCAGGCCTGGGCAAGAGGCTCAGAAGGGAAGCTCACAGACATCCAGTCAGAAGAGAAGGGCAGAGAAACAAATGGGTGATCAGGAAGGCGAGAAGGAAAGGATGGATAACGAAGAGCTTGAAATGGGTATGGTTTCCCTAATCCTCTGCTGTACAGCACTAATATATTGCCAGCCAAGGCTGGAAGCTAGAAAAGCTTTCTGCATGTGTTTGAAGGAAGACTTGTAGCTTCCCCAGAAATCTTGATATTGTCTGGGTAAAGCAATTAAACATTACAGCTACCCAGCCAGTGGGGGGCCAAATGGGCTTTGGGGTACAGCAGTCCAGTCTGAGAATATTGCTGAGGTGTGCTGCTGTGCTCAAAGGGCTTGAAGGCAGAAGGGAGGGAAGCTGGGAACTGAGGCTCCTGTGAGAATCTTACTGGAAACGATGACTTGCATCCTGTAAGCACTGTAAGGATTAGCAGATCAGTCTGTGTCACTGCTCTCTTTTTGTCTTTAATCCAGAGACTGTGCTGATAACTGTCCCTCTTTTTCGTAGATGCAGGAATGATTGAGAGGGAGAACTTGCATTCTCAGAAAGAGACTGTTGTTCAGGAGCCTATGGTAAGAAATACTGCCGTGCTGTTATCAGGATTCCTTCTTCTGAATAAAAATCCACTGTTCCACTTCAATCGGTGCTTTCCCAGAAGTCTTTATGACATGCAGCTCCAAACTTCTGTCTGCTTCCGGAGGGTTTTGGAGTTAAAACCATGAATTTGCTTGATTAAAGGTATGACTGGTGAAGTACTGAGCCAACGCTGGCTCTGTCTTCTTAGATTTCAATGTGCTTCTTCATCTCAGTTCCCCCACTTCAAAAAAAGCAGGCAAACGCAAATCTTTTAGCAGCAGGAATAATATGGCTGGCTGAATATTTTCTCTGTAAAACTGAAGGTAATTTGCTGATGACTGACATGGGCACAGTGAACTGACAATGCCAGACTCTCTTTAGAGGGCTCATACCTGTTTCATATGGTGTGGTGGGAGGGCAGCTGTTTTGGATTCAAGCTGAATGGGCAGAAAAGTGGAGGAGGTTGAAGCTCAAGACAAGTAAAGGGAGGGAACCACTGAATTTGTAGAAAGCAGCTGCTTGATGTTTGTAAAGCTCGTCAAATACAGAAGAGAGAATCTACTGTTAATATTTCTGGGAAAGCAGTCAGCTGCAAAACAGCCCTGCGACTATTTTGCTTTCTGTGCTGACAGTGAATTGATCTCCCAAGGAGAAACCAGCTCTAGAGAGAGAAACGAAGCCTGCAGCAAGATCCTTCTGTGCCTCCTATATAGCTTCATTACCACTCAAATGAGGAGAGCCTGAACTGCAAAGAGCAGATGAAAGATGAGATAGGACTAGAGAATGGGGAAAAGGCAGGGGAATACTGCTAAGAGTAACCAGTGCTCTCTTCTGGATGAATGATATTCCTGTTCTCTTAATCATGTCGTGATGGACCTTCCTCCTGAAATCTGTGTCAGCTCTGGCTGACAGCTTTTCCCAGATGGTGAGGGTGGGCTCATCTTGGCCTCTGCATCCCATGTAGGTATCTTGTCTGGTACTCACAAGAGCCTTTTCTTGTCCAGATGCCAGATGATGCTGCAGATCCTGCCCAGGATCCCAATAACCAGGGTGAGGATGAGTTTGAGGAAGCTGAGCTGGAGAGACCTGACTTTGAAGAGAAGGTGGGAGGCTTGGAGAAGTTCAGGGAACCCAGTGCGAAAGAAGAGTCCAAGGAGAAGCCACTGAAGGTGACTGACATGAGGGCAGCAGCAGGGGGTAGGGAGAGACTGAGCTGTGAATGGGGGGAGGCAGAGAGCTTAAAGACTCAAAGGGAAACTTAATAATCCCATTGCAGGATGGGGCAAGCAAGAGAAACCTTTTTCCAAGGGTCAATGGGTCGTACCAGAATTTGTTCTGGCCCTGTTGTTACTGTTTGTCGAAGCCTTGTTGTTCCTGGGCATGCAGCAAACTTGACAGCAGTGACAAGGTGCAGGAGTCCTGATTTCTTATTTGCCTGCTTGCAGGTGGAAGCTATTTATCTTTAAAGTGCTTCTTGCCATCTGAAGCCAGACTCTGCATCAGGGAAATGTTAGCTTGTTTTGACATGCAGCTGAGCATTGCTTGTTTTAAAAAGGAGTGTTTTATCTGTCAGGCTCTAAAATCATGATCAATAGTGAAGTTAAAAACAATAAATCCAAGCCAATGTAATCAAGGAGGAGAACAAAGACCTCTACAGTGGGAAGGAAAGCACAAGTGGACATGGGTTTGTTTCACTGCCTGATTTCTGAGCTGCAGTCTGGTGTCTTCCAGACCTGAAGCACCACTGCCAGAGAGCTTCTCCCTGCAGGGAATGGAAGTGGATTGGAGGAGAGCTAACAATGTCTGACCTTCTATTTTTCCCAGGATGCTGGCAGACCTGTCAAGCCCAAGGAGGACCCAATGGATGACTATCAAGATCAGGAGCAAGAAATTGTATGACACCAAGGTTTCCCTTCTTTGCTTCTCTAGTGAAATTGTTACCTGAGTGTGCTGGTAGCCAGGGGTTGAACACAACTCAGCTTTTAGGGAAGCAGATGTGAGCACTACTTGCAATTTTGTCTCTGCTCAATGGGGTGAATCTCCGGAACAAACCTGGATTCCACCCACATACCTATGGCTTCCAACAGCTCCGTGTCTTCCTTGTGTTAGGGACCCCAGAGAAGGGGAGCTCTCCTTGTCCTTTGTAAGAACCTGGCTTGTGCACTGACTATGTGGACCTAAATGTGCCAAGAGATGCTGTGCTGCTGCACATCATGGGTGGAATTTGTTAGGCTAGTTTTAGAGTGATGGGGGTAGGGTATCTTTTCATGCAACAGGCCGAGATGTTAAAATTGCACTGCAGTGCTAGTTTATTCAGTGTTCATTAAATGAACGTGGCTTCTTAACTCTACTTTTTGGTGCATTGCCAGTGTTACCTAAAGGTCCCCTGCAGAGCTGAATTCCTCCCTGTTTTCCTGGGTTTCCCAAGCTGGGCTGCTATGGCAGAACAGCTTTATTCAGAAGCAGCATGATGCTGTCTGTTAGGGTCTCTTTTCCAGCTGGGCCTTGCTGATTTTCCTTCCTGGCTGTTCTCTTTGCACCCAGGAGGACCATGGCGGTGAGGTGGATGACAATGATGACCTCGAACTTGTCCAAGAGCAGAAGAACCATGCAGGCATCCAGGGAGCTGATGGCAAGAAGGATGATTACTACTGAGAGATGCTGAAGATGGATGCAGTGGGAATGAGAGGAGAGGAACTCCTCCCAGGAACTGGATGCTGTACTGTGCACAGCCCAGAACAAAGGCAGGAGGAGATAGCTGCCTTGGCAGGCACTGAGCATGGTGTTTGCAGGTATGCATCATATCTACGTGCGTGGGGCCACTGCCGCCTCTCTGGTGCGTGGCATGGAAGTGCCCTCAGACTGTCTGAATGACTTTATACTGCTGCTTCTAAAAGAAGCACCTGTTGATTGATCAAGTTCTTGACCCTCTTGTTTTCCTCATCCATTCCCTAGATTGAGAGTTGGTTGTTTTTTTTTTTTTGCTGGCTGGGCAGGGGAGGGGTGCAGGACTACAAAAGGAGGGCGTCTGAGCTGATCCCTGGAGTTAATCAACTGATGGCTAATACAAAGGAATCTGTCTTATAAAATATTTTTCAGTAGTGTTTCTTTAAAACATCCTTTGCTCCCATCAGGGCAGGGTGGAGAGGAATTGTCTGGAGCAGTGTCAAAGTGATGGCTGGCCACGAGCACCAGCAGGAAGTACCACATGCCAGCTAACACAGTGTGTATGTGCATACAAAGGAGGAGATCCTCCTCCCAGCACAGGGATCCTTCCCTGTCACCCCTTCTGCAGTTCTCTTTTCCATGGCTGCCCTGCTGGGGTGGAAGAAGCACTTGATGGCACAGTCCCTGTGTTTGCCTGAACAGTCCTTTTGCTTTATACAGCATTTTGATGGTGTGGATACCCCCGAGTGGGACACCAACACCCAGCCAACAGCTTGTGGGTGAGCATCATGATAAAGCTCACAGGAGAAATCTTTGCTCCCTGTTTGCATTAGAATTTAAAGCCTTGTTTTGAGGAGTGTTTCGTGACACTTCCAGACAGTTGGGAAAACAACATTTATGTCCCACTGAATTTGGTCTTTTTCATTCAGGCAATGTTGTTTGCTTTTTTTTTCTCTTACAGTGCTTCTAATGGAGCTTGAAATGAACATGTCAGGGTTTTCTGGTTGCTCTGTTCTTATATTACTTGTTTTTTTACCAGTGCAATCTGAGCAAGTCAAACTCTGGGGTAATCTGGAGTGGTTCATGTGCTTGGGCTCTGCTTGTGTTACATGGAAGCAAGGAGAACTCTGCTTTTCCAGCTGCTGCCCTCTCCCCAGAGCTGCAGTGTCAGGGCAGCTGGGGGTGCTGCTGGCTGTGATGGAACTTTGGGGAAGCATCTTGTTGGGACCTCAAGGACCTGATTGCTGCTTTCTGAAACTGGGAGGGTGTAGCCATGCAGTGACACTAGGAGAACCTCACTGCAGCAGTTTGCATCTCTGTTCCAAAAGCATGTGAGAAAACAGACCTCCTCATGGGAAGGCATGAGGCTTTTGGTAGGATGTGAGCTGAGAGCTCCTGGCTGCTAAGCTTTTTCTGCACCCACGCCTCACTTAAAAAGCTCACAGACCGTTGGAGAAGACCAATGCTGCTGTAGGGGCTTTATGCTCATTGTATGGGTTGGTATCCCAGCTGGAGGCTGTGCAGGGGGTCCAGAAGAAGGACTGTTAGCCCAGTGCCATAGCTGCTCATGTAACTGAGTTCACTGCAGAGCTGAAATGAGGTGTGAGATATCCAAAGTGACTTGCAATGATGAACACCCTGTTAGTGCTGTATGCTGTCAACCTTGCAACGTGACGCAATGCTGCTCGGCCTCCCCCATCTGCTATTTATAGCACCTTCAGGATGCACTAGCTGGAACTGCTGCTATGTGTGCAGATGCAGCCTCATCAGAAATGCTCCCAGTTCTCAGCTGGGCAGGCAGAATCTCTCTGTTTCACAACGGATCAATGACCAACACTGTGTGTGGTAAGAATTTGAAGTCTGAGTGCCCAGGCTGCCCCAGTGGGAGCCGTAGTGCAGCTGTGTGCTGAGCTGCGTTCACCCCTGCTCCGTGCTTCTCCTAACCCGTGGCTGTCAGTGCAGAGGTTCAGACCTCACTGCAAGTGAATCAAGTGCTGGAAATAGAACCCTGATGGAAGGGAGACCACGTGCTGAGTCAGAGGCTGCAGGAGATAGCAACATTAGGAGGCAAAATCTCTGCTTATGCGTGTCTGGGATGAGTAATCCTCCAAGCTGACTCCGAGGGAACTATGGTAACTCATCCTAAATGTGAAGCTCCCTGCTAGGAGAATGCTTTAGTAACCATATGTTGCTCGCTGCCCTGAGCCGAGAGCAAAGCAGCTCTGCTCTAGGGACTGCCTGCCACAGCTGTGTGCAAGACTAAAATTGGTGCAGTGCTGCATGAGTTGTTAGCTGGGGGTGGTGAGCGCTTCCTTGCCTGGCCTCTAGCAAGTTGCCACCATTTCAGTACAAGTTCAGGGCTTCCTGTAACAGGAGACAACGAACACGGTGGGGGAGAACCAGAAAAGCAGCCAACCTGCAGTGTTAGGTCTGTCTGAAGGTGAGGAAAGCACCACGGCTGTTACTGATTTTGATACGCTGCCTGGGGCTTCACTGCTTAAAGCAAACGACAGTGTTTGCCCAAGTGGTGAACTGTTGAGGCAGTGTCTGAGAAGTCCTGGCTGGCTTCTATTGCAGACTGAGGCGTGGAGGAAGGTCTGAGAACAGCTGAGAAAGCAAACAACCAGATGGAGGATTCGCATGAGGTCAGTGCTGGCGGACTGACCAAGCCAAAGCAAATGGTTTTTGTTGGTCTTACATGAAAAATGATCTTTTGCCTGGAGATGTGGTGCAAGGCCAAAGGATGCAGTGCAGGATAAGGGCTAGTTCACAAGGGCTAGTTCACCTGGCACACTTGCAGATTGTTTGATGCTTTGCTCTCTACTTGCCTTTGGATTCCAGCGACGTGATAGAGATGATTTCTGTAAAGAAATGCATTTCCAGGGCTCACATGATGACAGTGATTCGGCCACATCCTTAGTCAGATGATGAGAATTGATTGTGCATTCTGTGCCTTTACAAATAAAGGCACAGATTAGGAAAACATGCCTATCAATTAGTTAAATTGTTAGGCTCATTATTCATTTACATGGCATTTTTAGGGCTTAAAATGTGACTAATGCTTTAATGAAGAGTTTTCTTGAAGGCATCCAATGTAGTTGGAGGAAAAAATGCCTTAAAGGCCTGCATAACGAAGGAGTGAGCTGTCTGCACCTCCTCGAACCAAGAGCATCTTCCCACTTGTATATACATGTGTGTGAATTGTTTAAGAGAATGACACTTGTTTTTAACACGGACTGGTTAGAAACCAAATCCCAGCCCCATCTGTTGGCTCTCTTGACAGAAGAACTCAATGTGTTTCAAATCACGAGCGAGCACCATCACAGCCTGGTGCCGGATCTAATTGATCGCTGGAACAGCGATAGCTCTGGAGTGCCATCTGCTATTAGCAGGGCTCAGGGAGGCAAAGCTGGCGTGGTTTGGCTCCGTGTGTCTCCTCAACACCCGCACGCTTCTCAGGCAGAGCTGCCAGGTCTTCATCTGCCCATCCCAGCCGGAGCTTCCAGGTAAGTTGGCCTCAGCCACTGAGAAGCGCCTTCAGCAGCACAGCACCTCCTCGCGTCCGCCAGGCCTGCATCGCTGTACTTTTCTGTGCTGCTCCTAATTTTAACAAGAGATTTCCAACAACTTTTGGCAGGGTAGCAGGAAACAAACGTTGAATTTGGCTTTTAAAAAAAAAGGCATAGCAGTCTATGGACTTCACAACCCCAAGCAGCTAACAGAGGAGAACTGTACCAGTGCAGAAGGAGTGAGGCAGAGGTGCTGGACAGCTGTGCTCAACTTATGCTGTTTGTCTCATCCATGGAAAGCCAAAGGCTGCTCTCTGGCACAACCCAGCCACCTTCCCATTCTGCAGGCTTCTGCCGGAAGATTTAAAGGTGCAGAGTGAGCTGTTCCAAAAAGCTGGAATCTGTGAGGCAGGAAGGGGGGCTGAATGAGCTGCCCGCTGTTTACCTGTTCATTAAAGAATGCTTCCCATGCTGTTGGTCACAGTTGGTTTTTAGATAGTTGAGGTTGGTCATTGGGTGAGGACTAAAGGCGAATTGTAAACACCATTCTGTACTAACAGCACAGAACCATGCTGTCCTCCAGCAGGATTTATGGCTTTCCACAGGCTTTTTCAGTGGGTGAAAATTCCTGTCTTCTGAGCTATTTGAGAGTTCTTAGGACCCTGTATAAAACCTGAGCAAAACACAAAGAAAATCTCCCCCCAGTTGCTGGTGTGGAATGAAAGTGGGAAAGCAAGGCCTTAATGCAGTTTTTATCATGTTTAAAGACTGCATAAAAACTGTTTAAGAATGTATTTATTCCTTTATTACTTGGAAAACTTTTGTTTCCACATTTAGACAAGTTTATGGTTCCAATATGAATGTTTTAGGTTGCCCAGTGAGCGTCTTGGCAGCGATGTGCTGGCTGGGCTGGGGCTGTTGTGCTACCATTGGGAAACGGCTTCTACAGGGTGAGCCAAAGAGCCCCTTTCCTTCTGCCTCAGCCTGCTGTGTGTCCCTTCCCACTATTTACCCCTGCTAGTAGCTGTGCCGTGCTGGAGGGGGAAGCCATCATTTCCTCGTGTCCCATCCTTGCTGAGCAATCTCCGAGTTGGAACACAGAACCGATTAAAAAAATAAACTCGAGGAAAAAAAAATTAAAGCCAACAAATCCAAACCTGCCCCCCTCCTCTTTCCTCCGAGCCGGGGCAGCCTCCCGGCCCAGCTCCGAGCCCTGCCGCCCCCCGGAGCGCGGCGGCTGGAGATGCCCGCGCTCCCCCCGGCCCCGCCGCTGCCCGGCGGCGAGCGCTCCGCAGCCCAGCGAGAGTTAACGCCGGAGCCGCCTCTCCATTGGCGGCCGGCGCAGCGGCTGCGGAGCCCGCGCTTATAACGGGCGCGCGGGGCGGCCGCAGCCCCTCCGCCGGCACCGCGGCTCGGCTCCATGCGGCGGCGGCCGGAATGCCCCGCCTGCTGCCGGCCCTGCTCGCCCTGCTCTGCTTCGGGCCGCCGCCGCCCGCCCAGAGGGCTCCGCTCGCCGAGGCCGCGGCGCAGCCGGAGCCGGATGAGCCGTGGTGCCCCTACAAGGTGCGGCCCGAGGGCTCGGCGAGCGGGCGGCTGTGCTTCCGCAGACCGGCCCTCGGCTTCCAGTGCGCGGCGCGCTCCTGCCGCGCCCACCGCTCCCCGGGCGGCGCGCTGGTGGCCAACGTGCTGCGCAACGGCAGCGTGCTGCTGCAGTGGGCGCCGCCGCGTCCCGGCAACGGCCTGCGCGGCTTCGCGCTCAACTGCTCCTGGGACGGCACCTACACGCGCTTCCCCTGCGACGGCGTGGAGCTGGGCGCCGCCTGCCGCGACTACCTGCTGCCCGAGGCGCACGGCGGCGTGCGGTACCGCCTCTGCCTGCAGCCCCGCTACGCGCCGCCGCGCCCCGCGCCGCCCGCCCACTGCGTGGAGTTCCGCGTGGAGCCGGCCGCCATGCGGGACATCGTCGTAGCCATGACGGCCGTGGGGGGCTCCATCTGCGTCATGCTCGTCTTCATCTGCCTGCTGGTGGCCTACATCACCGAGAACCTGATGAGCCCCGCCGCGCCGCGCCGCGCCTAGCGCCGCTCCGCTCCGTCTGGCGCCGCTCTGCCCCGCCGTGCGGCCGCCGCTTCGGGGCCGGGGAGCCGCGCAGGGTCGGGGTGGGTTTGCTCAGGGCGTCGTCGGGAGCTTCGGTTGCTGTGGGTTCGTCCTTTCCAGACTTCCAGGAGTTGGGTTGTGGGTTGTTTGGGTTTTTTTTTTGTCTGTGTGTGTATTTGGAGCTCTTGTCACATAGGGCGGCTTTTCAGCTTGAGCCATACTGATTTCTGAAGTCGTAGGATCTCAGTGGATTAAAAATGAATCGTGGCAAAAATCCACAAGTGCCAGGAAATTTTCCATTTTAGAAGCAAGCGACAGATCCGGCCGAGGGGCTGCTAGAAGGCACTTAAGAACGTGCTTACTTTAAGCTTGTGCTTAAGTCTCATTGCTCCGGATGAGTTGGACTCGATCCTCGTGGATCCCATCCAGCTCGGGATGTTCGATGGCTCTATGCTTCTAGATGCGTGCATGGTTTTGTTGTTTGTTTTTTCCCTGAGGGGGGAACGCCATTGAAACCTGCGAGGACAGACGCAGAGCAGCCACCAGCCACACAGCTGTGTGACCCAAAGGCACTGAGATCTTCCATGGCTGCTGCCTCGTGCTCCCCGAGCAGCAGGGTTGTGGCACAGGGTGCCCCAGCAGCATCGTCCCCCTGCGAGCTGCACTAAAAAGAAATAAAACACAGTTTGTAGGAAAATTCTGCCTCGTTGCAAAGTATGAACTGATCTTGAGTCGCTGCTCTCTGAAATCCCCCCCACCCCTGTTTGTTTTAGGAACGCTGTGTGGAGCTGCACTAAGGGACACAAAACTCACTGATGTCGTAGCGGAGTGTTTTGAGCGTAGGAACACTCCTTGTGAACTGCTCACTCAATGCTGTAGTAAATAAGGTTTTAGCCATACTCAAGTATGAATTCTCTTGTGCCTTAGTGTTGAGATCCTGTCCCGTTTCAATCGGTGTATCTCTTCTGTAGTCCTCACACAGCTCTGCTGCTGGTCTCGTCTCAAACTGCTGTGTTGTTTTGTTTCTGAAAGCAAACTTTGCTGCTCATTACTTGAACTTCGATATAGACCTGAAGTAGTTCTGTTACCAGCTGTTGTGTTTAGTTTTCATTTAGTTTGTATGTGATAGAAGGTGACTTTATAGCACTTACACATACCGAAAGCAAAAGTAGAAAAACTCTTCTGTGATGGGGTATTGCAATCCAAATCCTTTGGTTCCGTGCGTGCTCTGTTTGTGTCGATGTGCATCACTGGCGAATCACCCGCGGGCTTTTCTTTTGTGGAATAGTTTGCAGAGTATAAACTTGCTGTTAGAGAGTAAATATAGAAAGTATATGCAGCCCCTGATAAAACGCAGTATTGGCACTAATCATAATCCCCTCGAAAACTTGAGAGCGGTCGGGAAGCTGAAGGTCTGTGTTTCACCAGGCAGAAATACCTGTTTGTCATCCCTGCTCTGTTTGCTTTCTCACACGCGGCTGAGATTTCACACTGCTCTCTATTTATTTGCCTGTGTACTTGATAGAAGCAGCCTGACCGTATCCAGCACGGCAGCAATGGAAGGACAGCATCTTTCATTGTCACTGAAGGACAGTGTCACTTATTTATTTATTTATGTTGTCCCTAAGGAAGCTGACTGCTCAAAGACAAGGCAATCCCATTTTAAGAGCACTAAGACTGATTGTGTCTAGTGGTTTAGCTCAGTGAATTTAAACCCAGAGTGAATTTGGCTCCAAGGTCTCAGGTCAGTCTTTTCTGTAGCCAGTTCTGCACAGAGTGGCACTGATTTTGTACATCACTGTCAGCCAGCCTGACCGTTTTGGTCTTCATTTGCCAGATGTGAAAATTAACTGTATAACGAATGGGCTTTGTACCACGTTGGCATTGACCTTAATAAATGAAGAGAATAATGAAAAAATCGCATTTAATGGTTCAAGAATTGTTTTATTTGCAAAGTGAACAGACCTGGTTGTAACGGTACTGCACTGCCTGCTGGAAAATGGGGAATCAAAAACAGTTATAACACTTGATTTCTGTTTATTGGAGATTTAGACTGCAGGATCACGGGATAATTCAGGCTAGAAGGAATCCCTGGGGGCCATCTAATTCAACCTCCTGTTCAAAGTCATGCATGGAAACTCACCGAGCAAAAACCGCTTTCATCGGGGCAGCCTCGTGTCTTTGTTTTTTATGAGTGATCTCTATTCGACCTCTCCATGAGCTGCCCTCATTCCCAAATCCCTCTCAGTTTGCCAATTCAAGCTACTTGATTTTTTGTGCAGCCAGCACTGTTCATTGCTGTACTGCTGATGTAAGGAAACCGAGGACCAAATTTAATTGATGGATTTGTGTGTGTCTGTTTTCCCTAAGACATCTCCCACTCACTGACGGGCTGCAGCTACCTGCTAAAACAGCACCTCTTGTATCTCCTGCGGGGAAGTTATTTGTAGTCATCTCACATCTTGATGCATCTGCCTCTGTGGATTGCATTGCAGCAGCCTGCTGGGCAGAGGGTAGACAGGCAAGTGCAAAAGACGTAGAACAAGAACGTAAATCCTGCTGGAAGAAATTCAGTGATTCTCTAAAGGATTGTTTTTATCACCGTTTTTCTCCCCATGCATTACAGATGAGTTATGGGAAACAATATCTCCTAGCTTCTCTTTCATTTTCAGGGGATTAAGGTTTAATTGGACACGTCTCGGTGTCTGGAACAGATAATCAGAGTATTCCCTATTTCATTTTATGTGGCGTTAAGTAAAATGTCTGCCAACTCATTAATAACTAGTAGGCTTGTTTATTGTGTTGTTTGGGTTTTTTTTAGTCATGAGTGTAGAAATTTCTTGTTGGCAATAATGGCCAAGATTACACGCATATAGACTCGAAATTAATTTGCCTTCTTTGATTGCACAGTTAAAGAAAGCTTTATCCAGTACTTGCAGCAATTCCCAAAGCATGCAGAGCATCACACGGAGCTGTAATCAATCCTGGCCTGTCCAGGCAGCAGTAAAGAAGCAGCAGCACGCTGATTTATAGCTGCTATGGCTCTTACATCCCCAATGCTCCAGGAAAATGTGGGGATAACTTCTAACACACTTCTGTGGGCAAACACGGTCTCCCTGTTGTTACTATAACAGGACTTGGGTATTAAAAATACATATGGTACTTTCCTAGGTGGTATTTTATTGTATTTATCTGGTAATTTCCAGTACAGCTATCAGGCCATCTCCATTTGAGCAGGATTTAAAATGGAAGGTTAATATGCTTGTTAACAGGTTTTTGGTTTTTTTTTTTCCTTCTTGTCCTGTGCTAAATGTGAGGAAAACAGCTGCTTAAATTGAAGCTGCTCAAGCTCAGCCTGACCCCAGCTTTGAATCTTCTGGAAGGAGCAGTCTGAGCCTCGGGCAAAGAATCTGTTTAATTCCATTAGGATGCTTTTTGTGGTACATAAAAGGGGAGGGCTGCTTGGTTTTGTTTGAAGGTGCAAGTGAAAGCTGGTGTTTTGCTTCCATGGAGACTCGGAGTTGAACTTACCAGACTGCAGCTTGCTGCTCTGTTTCGCTGTAGGAAGGGAGCTGGAAAAACCAAGGTAACTGTGTCACGTTTCCTGTTGAAGGCTCAGTACTTTTGCAATGGCTCGGGTGCATTTTCTTGGAGTCAGCCTGAGCAAACAGAACCCGGCTGGCATTGCTTTCAGCAGTATCCGTTTGAAGGCCATCCAGCGTTCTGAGCATAGAAGGAAAGGTGTAAAGAAACCACAGGTTTATCTTCCTTCAACGAAGGTGTTTTGTTTTTTGTCCTGGGGAAGCTGTGAGGAGAGAGAGAGAGGAAAAAAGGTTTTGGCGGGAAGCGGCGTGTGGAGAAGGGCGGGAAGGGAAAAGGACGGGGAAGGGCTGAGGGGGGGCGGTTCAGCCGGGAAGTGCTGGGGGAGGAGCGGGAACTGCGAGGAGGAAGGAAGGAAGGAGGAGGAGGAGGAGGAAAGGCTTCAGCTGAGCGCTGAGGGGGCAGCGGCCCGTTGTGCGCGGGTCTGCGTCCCACGGCCCAGCTCCTCACATCCACCGCAACATCGGGCTGCCACCTAGTGCTGGGAAAGAAGCGAGCCCGGAGCCTCTGCTTTTCAGGAAAAAACAAAAAACGATTGCTTGGATCTCTTCACCCTCTGAATAATAGAGTATACAATGCAGAATCAGCATAGCAGCAGCTTTGTTTATTTTCCTTTTTTTTAAACACAAAAACAAAAAACGACAGACTTGAAATTATTTACAAATAAGACCGGTTGACGTTATGAAACCTCAACATCCTACACGCATTTCTCCATCCCAGCTGGAAAATCTTTCGTGAGCCTGTTTTCAAGGCCGCAAAGGCAAACACTGGAAACAGTGGAAACCGAGGTGCCACAGCTGCCACTCACGAGCCCCCATGTTTCTGCGAAGCTGAATCAGTCAGAAAGAAAAGAGAGACACGTTACACAGAGCAACTCAATGCTGACAATCACGTTGCTGACTCCCGCAACTCTTTCCTAATCCCTGGTTTACCAGCTCCGTACGCAGCCGGACCACATCTCAGTGCCTGGCGGCGCTCTGGCGCCGCACTCCCAGCCCCTCTCTATGGTGTTGGCGGCGCTCTGGCACAGCACTCCGCCCCCTCTCTATGGTGCGGGCGGTGTCGCCCGCTGCGCGGTTGGCCGCTGCGGGGCGGCGCTGCCCTGCTGACACGTCCCGGCTCCGCCCGCCGCCGCGCCGCGGCCGCCATTTTGTACGAGCCGCCGGCGGGGCAGCGCAGGCTTGGGAGCCGCGGGGAACGAGCTGGGCTCTTCCCTGCGCCGCCATGCCTTCTTCGCCGCTCCGTGTGGCCGTGGTGTGCTCGAGCAACCAGAACCGCAGCATGGAGGCACACAATATCCTCAGGTAACCAGGCCCTGCACGAACGCCTCCTTCAGGCCGGGGGCGGCGAGGCCTGGCCTGTCGCTGGGCCCCGCCGTCGGC